GTGCTGTTTAGCTACGTAACTGCTTGTGTGACCATGCGGCCAGTTTGTTGAAAACCTCCTGTGATCTGCTCAGCTTCGTCTCCTTCACCTCTCTCCAGGAAGTGTTTACAAGTTCTGCCTTTTTCAAAAAGCCAGTTTTATTTCACCATGTCGTCGTATTGCGCCACGCGCTCGTGTTAAACAAAAGCAGCTCTCTCCAGGAGGAAATTTGCTGTCAGTCAATCCAAGCGAGTTAATCCACGAGCAGAAATRTYCTGACATTAAAWCGTGCTGTACTCGCTTCTACCCYAACCACCGGAGAGGAGGTTCTGAGACAGCGCAGCTGTGGAGCACACTTGGAGAGGKGCATTGGGCTGACACCGAGCCGAGTCGAACCGCGTACCTGAACGTCTGTGGAGATTGTGGGCCGAGGCTGTCACTATTAACAGTGAACACCAGAGGGCGCAAATTAACAGCTTTCTTTGAGGCACCGAAATTAGAGTTGTGTTTCGGTCTGTGCACTACCGTGGATATTCGCCCTGGTGTCATACTGGAACTGAGTTTTTATACCAAACCCTAAACAAAACATTTCAATTTGAATAGCAATCAATATAATTCAATTAACATTGATTTCTTTAAACCTATTAGAAATCATGTCCGGCCTACGTGGGTGTGAAACTATATCAGTGTTACATTCTATAACTAAAAATGTCAGCTAGAAACGTTGGTGCTTTTTTCTCCACGCCGTCACTCCTTGTCCCRTCAGAATGGATTGTGTGATGGTCCCAGGGATGGAATCCTCCTGTTGTCTCATCTGGTAGGCTGAGGGTGGATGTTGCTCTGATGATGCCTAAACTATCTTAGTTGTCTGGGAGATGGTCTTTGAATACACTCTTTTYAAGAGGCCACCAACAACAACAGCCACCATAAATGGAATTAGACCACTACCCAGCCACCATTAGACACTCAAGRCTTTTTATTTTTGCCATGTTTGCCAACCACTGAGAAACCACTGTGCTAAGCCATCTCCTCAGACCCCCTTTCTACATCAGAAATTAGCCAAAGAATATTCTACTTTAATAGGCCACCACCCAAACGTCCAGCTAACTACTCATTAATAATCAAGCAGAAAACATAATTCAAACGACACTGATCATCATGTCAGCTACCTACAATTTACCTCCTCACTGCCACCTTCTGGCCAAACGTGTGTAACTGTTTTCTAAAAAAAAAAAACTAGTTTGACATAAACTGTAACTCGACCTTCGACATCTATTCTACCCCCTTTAACAACCACCAACTTAAATTTGAAATCCTGAAAGAGAATTGTTACACATGCGCAGATATTTGTTCACATCAGATTGATAACATCAGTCAGCTGTATTGTCCTGAAAATTAAACATTAGTTTTCACCACTTCAYTAAAACCTTGTGAATTACTACCTGWAAGCCAAATCTTTCTTACTCCAAGCTTGAAACCTGTGGMATTTGTTATGTTTTTATACAGTCAAAATCATAAAGTTAAACATTATCCACTAATTGATCACCCTGACAATATTGCTTCCCAACCTAGACAAGCACATACTGTATTACAGGTAACTCAACCTTTTAGAAAAAACACAAACTCCGGAAAAACCCTTATTGACAGTAACATTATACAGACGCACCACGCACGAAAATATGTCTTAAATACGTATCTTACTTCCTAATGGGCCCAATGTATTGTATGGTCTTACATCCCCACAGCCTCTTAGTCGCAATCCGTATTTTAAAATCTATTTCATCCGTATTGTTTAGTCTAGCATTCATGCGGTTGTTTGCTAAGCTAGCTTGACTTAACTTTTATTTTAAATYACATCAAACAGCCATTTTCCAACCTGTTCTGCCACTATAAAAAAAGTTTTGAACTTTTTCTGCTCTCCTTTGCTCCTGCTTCGCAGCAGGCACTTTCATGTCRGCAGCTGACAGCTGGCTGGATGACTGGGAATATCCAGAAATATATGATAGTAACATCTGTCTTGTACTGTAACAATTCTAAAATTACTGGATCTGTATATTACCTAGTTTTAATTTCAGCACGTTGCTCCTGTTCCATAAATACCAGTACAATGTTACACATGGATGGGCCACCACCACACCTGAACCATGTTAAGAATCATAGGGATGTGCTGGAGAAGATTTTATGAAGTGTTCCGAAACCCCAATACAAGATCTTAGTGAAAAATTCGTGTGATCRTTTTTTTAGGACTTGACAGTCAAACTTGCATGACCCCTTAGCAATTCCACAAGGGAGAAAATCAACCCCTTTTCAAAGAATTTGATTCCTAAGTCCAAAGCAGTACATGAAGGCAAGCCAAACTCTTTTCTAGTTGGTATGGCTCAACCTCACATACTAGTTATACCTTGTGAACTGACATTCATACTTGGAGCCAGTCTGCATCATTCGGGCTTCACCCTCGCCTTTCCCCTGGCTCACATGGCACCAAGTTCTGCTGCCTCTCCCAAACAGGTAGCAGCCCATGTAAAGGTGGCTTGTAAGTTTTGTTTTGGCTTGGTCCAACTGAGCCAATGCTTAATCACCTGGCATTGGAACTTTTTATGTCCTCTTAATACTAACCCCATTTGAGTTTTATCATCCCCTTTTGCTTGAAACTAAAGTTTTGCTCATGATGCTATGCTCATGATTCATAAATTATTGTAATTAATTTTTAAAACATTATGGTCTTTATAATGTTTTTCTCTCATTTAAACTGCAGCAACCACCACAAAAAGGCCACGGACACCAGTTCATGGAACTGGAGGAGGTAAGAATATACCAACTCATCATCATCATCATCATCATCATCATCATCATCATCATCATCATCATCATCATCATCATCATCATCATCATCATCATCATCATCATCATCANCATCATCATCATCATCATCATCATCATCATCATCATCATCATCATCATCATCATCATCATCATCATCATCATCATCATCATCATTTCATTTATATAGCACATTTATAAACAACAGCATTGACCAAAGTACTTCACAGACACGATACAATTAGAACTGGTAAAAAACTAAAAACAGATAAAAAAGACACAATTACAAATTTATTATTCATTCATTATGCGTGTTAATTGTGAGGGATGATCAACAGGGAGATTAGTGTAAAAGGAAATGAGGGGAGAAACTGAAAGGGTTTTTTCACCCGTTCTACACTGTTTTACCAGTAGGGGATACCAGATCCGTTTTACTGATCAATACTTTATTCATCCTTTATAAATCTGACACATTCACCAAAGTGTGAGATCGTAAGATTCAGGGAACACTTTCWTATTCAATGAATACTGTAGTGAGTTAAGAGTTTTACCAAGTTGTGGCACCAGGTTATGTTATTGACAAATATTTATTCACCCTTTTTAATCAGACTCATATTTACTGTGAGTAAAGAGTGAGTGATCGTATGATACGCAGGGAATACTAATCTTATGCCAAAATACTCAAAGATGAGGAACCAGCTTTATATTTTATGGTAATTTATTACAAAAATAAAACAAGAATAAATTTCATTGAATCATGAACCTGGAAGCACTCAGAGAGTTCAAATCTTCGCCAAGGCCATTGGGAAGCACGTTTGCCAAATAAGTTCAAACGTATCAAATTTACCTCACATGGTAGATCAGCTGTTCCTGCTGTCTGTCCTGTACCAGTGTTACACCAGCTGCAGCTGCAGTTGCAGCTGCCTGCAGCTGACCGTCCTCCCGCCGTCAGCATCTTTTCATGTAATCCATCAATGTGAATAGAACTGCATTTGTTTTTCTACATCTCCAGACAGCATGTAACCTCACCAAAAGTAGTTGATATGACATAATTATAATTCCAACTTTGCCGATAATAGCAACACGTTCCTGATAACTTCTCTCCAGTTTGCGACTTCTACTTCCTGTTTCCTACAGACAGGCTTAACGTGAATGTCTGACATAATTACTTTGCGTAGTCGGGTTGATTCACAAAAATCCTTGAAAAAAATCCTGTATCTGTGATCTGGCTCATCACCAAAATTTAATGGCGTGTTCTTTTGGCCAATACCTAATGTGATAAAAATTTCATGAAAATCCATCCATAAGTTTTTGAGTAATTTTGTCCACAGACAGAGAGACAGACAGATAGACATACGCGACCAAAAGCATTACCTCCATAGCTAATAACAACATGAAAGACAACCAATAAGGTTTCTAAAACAGTTAAAGATGAACATTATTGTAGACTTGATGGCATACATCTAGTTAATGTTTTTATAGAATTTTATAGAATGAAAATATATTTTTCCCAAAGGAAATATTTTTCTTCTTAAGAGACCCAGGTTTAGGGATGGGTACCTTTGACATTTGAATCGATTCAGTACCAATATCCAGTACCTGGGAATCAATACCGGTACTTAACGGTACCAGTTTTCAGTACTTTGTGTGTGTTGTTGTTTTTTTAATAATAAACTTGTTTTTAACATATTTCTCAATATTTAAATTTAACAAATATCAAGACAACATCCAACTCTTTGTATTGTAACATCAGTTGTTTAACTAATTTCTTTAAAGTGAAAACTCTTGAAAACAACAAGACTGTTTTGTCTTATTGTACAAATTAAAATCCAGCTCCACGTGTTTCTATTGATGTCATTTCCCCACTAGAAAAAATGTGTGATAGAGGTCCATGGAAGGCAAATAAGTTTAAATCAAATAAACAAAAGAGGATGCAGTTAAAATAAATAAGTTATTTAAGCT